CAGAAGCCTCTCAGAATGAAAACAGAGCCAAATAAAAATGTGAATTCCTTACACTGCTAAGAAAATAAAAATAGCTAAGAAAAAACTAAAATAAAAGTGATCTTTAGGTGAAAACCTGGAGAATAAAGCTTTCTACACTTTATGTTTACATTTTAATGTTAAAGAGGCAAGAACAATAAAAACAGACTATCTTAAATGTCATGGTTTATTGTCAGCAATATTCACGTCAAACATATATCTTGGTTTTAAAGCAAGGGGATGAGTAAACAATGTTGATTGCTCATTTTCAGAGTACAGAAAAGGCATCTAACAAAGGCTAGACTGCTTTGAATTGTTATTAGTGACAATATTTTTAGAATTAGTTTTGGAAGGCATGAGTATAAAAGAGAAAGCAATTTTATTGTTCTTAATTCTTTCCAAAGGAAAATGTGTGAAAAAAATGTCATTAATTTGCTAAGAGTATTAAGACAAGGGTCTATTCATTCTAATAAGTATGACCTAACCAGGCTGCTAATAGAGCCATTATTAGATTAAATCCTTCCAATTGCTTTTTGGAAATAATTTGGCTTGTTTTTTGTTCTGATAAATAAAATAAAGAAAAGAAGCAAAGAGTCACAAAAGCATGGAACTTCCTCTAATCACAGGAGAGTAGATACCGAAGAATAGAGAGTATTCATTTAGTATAGAGGAATTGTAATTTTAAGGTTCAAAGTACATTCCTGACACGTGCAGTTGTTTGTGCCCTAACCTTGTCTAATGAATAAACCCTGTTCAGTGCTGCTCACGGACCAGCTGACGTGAGCTTCCCAGACAGCCACTTGTGGACCTGCCCTCCTTGTTCCTGGCCTGCCTTTCTTCTCAAAGGCCACACTGCTGCAACTGGGACACAGAATGTATTCCTTGAAGGCCAGACACAGTGGTAAGGACTAATAGCAGATGTTCTGGTTCCTAACAGCGTTCACAAGTTTAAGGCCTCATATATGAAAAAAATATCCTGAGATGAGAGGGGCATGTTTTATTAAATCAACATCATTATCCAGATGGTCCCTTTTCTACAATATTGGAAGCATTAGAAGAACACTGGTACCAGGACACTTTTTGTAATTATTTTGAATGTTTGTTTTAAAAAAATGAGATTTAATTTATAAATGATAGTAACTGTGTTGGTTATTCTTACTCTTTCTCCAGTGCAGTCTGGTCTCCTATTGGCTACAACAGCATCTAAACAACTGTGAGATACATTTTTGGAACAAGAAAAATATTAGTGAATACTTATATGCTTGATTTAACAAATCATTTCTACATAGAAGAAATGTGCATTTAAAGTTTAAAATTGGTAGGATAATATATGCAATAAATAATATTCAATATATGTGTTCATTCATTCAGAAAAGATTTTTTGAGAGTCGAACATGTGCATGATACTTCACTAAAGTGTTTTGAGATTGTGTAAAGAATTCTATTTTAAAAATGAGTGTTTCTGATAAGGTACAAATCATTCACATACATTTTCCCCATTCTTGTTTGAAATGTGAAAAATACTGAAGCCTCTCTATAAATAAAATTAGCAAATAGCAAAGGAATATTGAAAGTTTATTCTCTAAAACATGCCATTGTGCCATTGGTATATATTCTGGAATGGTTTAGAAAGAAAAATTCAACGTGTAAAAATTTTATTTGATAAAGATTTTTCCCTGATTGTCTGGGCTATTTTCCAAGTTATTTAATAGAAAAGATCTCTATGCACAGAGGGAGATGTGGTCCAGACCACTAAGAATCTGCCCATCAGGCCAAGGCCAGGAAATTTTGATCAATGTTGGCTTTGAGGCACAAGAGTTCAGAGATTACAGGGTCCCAGATATCACCTATTCAAAGTTTCTCTTTACAGAAATGAAGTAATTTGGCAAATGCACAAAGGTAGGAAATGACCCAAGATGCCTCCTATGGTAAAAGGAAAATCTAGATCCATATCAACAAACCTGAAAAGATATATTTATTCTTCAATCTTCTCAAAATAAATGTTTATTTAAATATATTTTTTTGCTAAAGATATGGATGTAATTATCCCAACTCCATATACCCTAAACTTTACAGGGCAAGTGCCAAAATAGAATGGTTTTCAATATTGTGCTTTAAGTGAAATTACAAACATATTATCATAAATCGACTATTCACAGATGTCTCCTCTTTTAGATAATCAGCTTTTAATGGTGCGATATAAGGAGAGTGTTTGACAATTAATATCCCAGAGCCACTTGAAAGATGGTAGCAGTGATCAGTATCACAGCACTGGTCCTAAGCCAGCTCATGATTCTCTCAGTGACAAATATTAAGATAATTAGAATTTAATAGACAAATAGGAAAACAGCAACTTCCTAAAAATAATTAACTAAAACATTCTTCAAATGTCCAAAATCTAAAAATTATTTTCCTCCAATGAATCTAGTTCACTCTACTAAACAAAAAATCATCATCATATTATTAAAGAGCCTTTACAATTAGTATTTTGAAACCACAGTAATGAACCCAGGGGACACAACTATACTTCTAAGCATATTAAATGAATCCCATTTAAAACCCTCAATGTACACAGTGTTTTGCTGAATTTTATAGAAGCATCTCCCAAAGTGCGAGTATATTCTGCTGGCCGTAAACTTACTCCATGATAAAGAGGGTCTGTGATTTTCCAAAGGAAGACCACAGAACCCAGTATTTGCCAAGGCTAGATGGACTGTGGAAATGTGTGTACATGTGTGTGTTCATAGCACATATTAACATCAGGCATTGGGGAGACACTGCTATATGGGAAATGCTACAAAAACTTAGTGCAGTTTCCATGGGGAAAACAAAAACAAGATGTTGAAATTTCAACATTTTGAAATTGGATGCAATGGAAGAAAGATAGTAATATTATTTTTAAATTAAAAAGGCATGCCCAAACAAAATATATGAGTCATTCATTGCCTGGTGAATATGCTTCTAACATTCTATTATTGTTAACATGTATCAATAATACAAGTATTTTATATATTTCATGCTCAATTTTATAAAGCTCCCAGTGGAGACAAATTTTCATTTATATTTGAGAATTAAAGTAAAAAGAATGAATTGAAATTTACAATATAAGTTAGATGGCAACTCTCATTCAATTGGCAAGGTACCTATAGATTATGAGACTCTAAGAAGAAATCATTTAAAAGTTGTTTTTCAAAGATATAGCCAGAATTTATAGGTCTGAGAAGGAAAAAAGTGATACCTTTTATTTTCCTTAATATCTAAAACAAATTTTTGTCTTATATGAGGATCATAAAACTAACAAGTAATAGTTTTTATAAAATCTATAGATTCTAAAAGATCTAATTCAAATGATATTAATATAAGAACAAAACAACACCTAATAATCACTGGCACAATGTCTTTTATTTGAATTGAAAGGGGTTTAAGATGAAAATACCTAGGGAACATTTAAGTTAATGTAAGTAGTAATCTGAGTATGTAAGAGTAATTAAAATTATTTAAAATGTTATTTTGTTGATCTTTTCATTATTATGATAATATTCGGTCTTAAATGATAGTGGGGGAATGCACACACATCAGCAAATACACAAATTCTAATATTAACTATTTAGGGAGGCATTTCTTTTGTAAATGACAAGGGTATTTCATTTAATCCTTGCTTTAAAATGTTGATATCTGTTGTATTGTTTTCAGGAGTTGGGAGTAATTGATGGGAAAGATTCTAATATTTAAATGCCATATAGTTTATGTAAAGTATTTCTTTTGATCTTCACAAGTCTGCTACACTGCATAATCGATTTCATGTTAAAATATAAAGGGACAATACTTCTAAGATTACCCTGATGTGATTATTAATTGTACTCTCTTCCTGTCAAAAATTCCTGATCTAGATAATAAATTATACAGTAACCATAAAAATCAGGAAACCGAGAAGCAGAAAGTTTAAAAAAATTGACTAATACCATACTCATTCTTGGTTGACTCAGTCCTAAACCCAGTTATGCATGAATACGAGTCATTCTCTTTCCACTGCTCAGCATTGCCCTAGAGCAGACATAATCAGCAGAAGTGTTCGGGAGAGTAATTCAGACATGAAGAAGTATAGCCAGCCAAAATAGGAATGTCAAAATTCTGAAATGGTACATTAGAAATTCAGTCCTCTGAATTTTTCTGCTCTCAAGGATCTGCTCTTAAAAGACAAATGTTCCTAAGAGAGGTAGCATTGCACCAATTAATTCATACTTAAGCAATAAAGAATTATCAGAAAGTAGGAAAAGGAGTAGATGAAGAAAAATACAAAATGGGAAGGTCTAGAGAAGGGAAAGAGGAAAAATAGCGGGAAGGAAGCTGCAAAAACAGGACAGAAGCTCGCCCATTGGGAACTTTAGTATGTATCATCATTTAAGCCTTGATATCATAGTCTAAGGGAAGAGCTTCCTAATGAAGGTTAAGAATACTGCCTAACCTGCTCATTCTGGCTGTCATGAGTGGGTCATATGTAGCAGAGGAATACTTCAGGGACTAGAGACAGCAGAAGAGCACCAGCGGGAGCCATTACTGCCACAAAGAGGGACACGTTCTCATGGAAGCATTGTGGTTGCTTTTCTAATCCCTAGTATATCAGCTACAGTTCCGGTTTAATGAGTCATGACAGACCCCTTTAATCTTTAAAGCTGAAAAGGGGAAAGAGAATAGAAAGCAGAGGAAAGGAAAGCGTTAAATGTAACTAAGGGACAAGATAATTGACAGTAGAATAAAGGGGGAGAAATTTACTTTCCACGATTAGCAGGAACAGACCTTTCTGGGCAGAGTTATGTAAGACTGTTTGCTGAGCCACATAGGAGCCTACAAGAGGCAGTCCCACATCCAATGTGTGCATGGAATTGCGCATGTACATGAAGTGTGAACTAGAGAAGAGGCTGGTGTCATGCTAATTACTAAATATCCAATAGGAAGCAGAAAATGATGCCAGCTTAAAGCGATGATTTGAGCAAATTATAGCATCAAGGCATGGTGGCAATTATGAGCTTCGCTGCTGTATTTTAAGGAAAGGTAAAGACTGCAGTTCTCGTTAAGATACAATTGTGGACATGAAGACATCTATTCCAGCAGTCTTTCTCATATCTGTTATGCGAATATTCTTCCCAGGAGTGATCATTAATTATGTGGCCTATAGATGTAATCTGTTTCCCTTGCTGAAAAAAATAAAGGATATATAACATGAAAATAACACCACCCCACAACATTCTGCCCTTTGGTTTAATAGAGAAGATGGCACATTCTTAAAAATTATTCAAGAAATTATTTAAGAAGCAAACCTAAAAGAAAATGTTTCTTAGAGAGCAGCAAACATTGAAGGAGATACCAAGTAAATGTAGGTGGCAGGAAGGTAAAAAGAAAGAAAATTATTCAAAGCTCTGCATTTGTTAAGAAACTCTGAGATTTCACAATTGGGTTTTTTCCAGCTGTATAAGCATAAATCAAACTTGACTCAAACCTTCAACCTTACTCAGCCTAAGTTCTATCTCTGGGCTAATTCAAAAAGTCAGTACTGATATTGCTTCATCAGGTATAATCGAATACGAAGAGTGTCGGGTTTGAGTACAAGACATGGATTTGTGTTCTTGTCCCTGCACATTGCTCCCTGGCTATGCCATTTTAGAATCTAAAGTATAGACACCTCATTAATGTGTTTTTTGGTTTATTATATAAAATGGAAAAAATAATAACTGTTTTTTTTAAAAAAAATCGGGAGTTTTTTTTAAGTAACTAGGAAGAAAAACGTACTCAAATGAGCTCAGCCAAGAGAAGGTGATTGTTAGAAACAGGAAGGATTATTTCAGGAATTCAAGTGGAAAATGCATCCAGAGATCTTGGCACCCTGGAAGCAGAGACCTGAAAAAGACCAGGAATGAAACTAGCAACTCCATCCCTCCTGCTTCATTTAGGTCCCCGTGGTCTGTGCCTTCACTTCTGCACCTGCTTCACTTTTCTCTCATTGTCCTGTTCACACATGGCTGGTTGTAGTTTCCCCAACATTCCTCTCCATTCCCAAATCTATGTCACATAACCAATAAACCAGACAGACTCTAACAGCGTCACTTTAGATCAGGTGTTTTCTCTAAGTATCTGTGGGTAGTGGAGGGGAAAGAGGACCATGGGGTAGAATGGCCGTCCTTCTGGCAGCGGAAAAAGGATGATTTCTACAAAAGGCATTTGAAGTAAAAGGTCGAAAGTTTGGCAGAAGAATTGACTGGCATCTCTAATTTGCCATTCTTTCTAACAAGGTTGTTATGAAGATTGAGAGTTTAGCTATGAAAGCATTTTATAATTTGTAACATGCTATATAAATTTAAGGTAGTGATCACTCGAGCCCAGGTCCCAGCCACTGCCACACGCAGCGCCGGGCATTCAGGAAGAGGAGCAGCAGCGGAGGCTGCGGCCACAACGGCGGGCAGGCGCCAGAAAGGCCCAGATTGAAAAGCTTGGGAGGGCAGCGAGCTACCCCCAGAAGAGGAGCCAGTCCGAACCCAAGGCGCCACCGCTGCAGAAGCAGTGCGGAGAAGCAGTCGCCTTCATGGCCCACTCACCGGTGGCCGTCCAAGTGCCTGGGATGCAGAATAATATAGCTGATCCAGAAGAACTGTTCACAAAATTAGAGCGCATTGGGAAAGGCTCATTTGGAGAAGTTTTCAAAGGAATTGATAACCGTACTCAGCAAGTGGTTGCTACTAAAATCATAGACCTTGAGGAAGCCGAAGATGAAATAGAAGACATTCAGCAAGAAATAACTGCTTTGAGTCAGTGTGACAGCTCATATGTAACAAAATACTATGGGTCATATTTAAAGGGTTCTAAAGTATGGATAATAATGGAATACCTGGGTGGTGGTTCAGCACTGGATCTTCTTCGAGCTGGTCCATTTGATGAGTTCCAGATCGCTACCATGCTAAAGGAAATTTTGAAAGGTCTGGACTATCTGCATTCAGAGAAGAAAATTCACCGAGACATAAAAGCTGCCAACGTCTTGCTCTCAGAACAAGGAGATGTTAAACTTGCTGACTTTGGAGTTGCTGGCCAGCTGACAGATACACAAATTAAAAGAAATGCCTTTGTGGGAACTCCATTTTGGATGGCTCCTGAAGTTATTCAACAGTCAGCTTAGGACTCAAAAGCTGACATTTGGTCATTGGGAATTACTGCTATTGAACTAGCCAAGGGAGAACCACCTAACTCCGATATGCATCCAATGCGAGTTCTGTTTCTTATTCCAAAAAACAATCCTCCAACTCTTATTGGAGACTTTACTAAGTCTTTTAAAGAGTTTATTGATGCTTGCCTGAACAAAGATCCATCATTTCATCCTACAGCTAAAGAACTTCTGAAACACAAATTCATTGTAAAAAATTCAAAGACGACTTCTTATCTGACCGAACTGATAGATCGATTTAAGAGATGGAAGGCAGAAGGGCACAGTGATGATGAATCTGATTCCGAGGGCTCTGATTCGGAATCCACCAGCAGGGAAAATAATACTCATCCTGAATGGAGCTTTACCACTGTGCGAAAGAAGCCTGATCCAAAGAAACTACAGAATGGCGCAGAGCAAGATCTGGTGCAAACCCTGAGCTGTTTGTCAATGATAATCACACCTGCATTTGCTGAGCTTAAACAGCAGGATGAGAATAATGCTAGAAGGAATCAGGCAATTGAAGAACTTGAGAAAAGTATTGCTGTGGCTGAAGCTGCCTGTCCTGGCATCACAGATAAAATGGTGAAGAAATTAATTGAAAAATTTCAAAAGTGTTCAGCAGATGAATCTTCCTAAGAAACTTATTATTGGCTTCTGTTTCATATGAACCCAGAGAAACCCACCAAAGCTATTTCAAGCTTAGCAATGCTTAGCTCGTGAGCTCCATGTGCCTTTTGGATCTTTGCAACATTGAAGATTTAGAAGAAGCCATTTGACTATTTTGTGATGGTGTTTGTCATTTTATATTTTAAAGAGATTATTTTGTAAGGAGTAACTTTTAATACTATAGTTTCGCCTGTATTCTAGTAAATGTTGAGATACAGTTTTGCTTTTAGGTATCATTATTTCTTAAGTTACTAGGATGAATACCTTTCATGTTTTGTTCTTTAGTTAACTGTACACTCATGAAACATACAGGTCTTTCAAAGTCATCCTAAATATCCAACTTTGTAAATTATCAAGCTTCGAAAAGCTTTTTTAAAAACATAAGCATATTCTAAAAATGACTATTGGTGGGGAAGTGAAAATAAGTTGTATCTTCTTAAAACTGAAGTTTTTAATAAGCTCTTCAAAATGAAATCTATAAAAGTATTGACTCATCTACCAAGTTGGTATGATATTCCAGGCAGCTCAATGATAATCACATTTGAGAGCCCTGTGTTTGAAGCATTTATAGGCAACATGTAGCAACAGAGGTACCTCTTGTTGTGCAGTATTTACCTTATCTTTTAAATAGAAGAGGCAATTAATCCTTATTTAACATGGTTAGAAATTTCAAGCAAGATCATTTAGCCAAAGATAGATTTTGTTGGTGATACTGGAGGAATTAGTCTGGCTTCGTGTTTTAAATCTTCACCATACTATATGCTTGGATTTGGAGAGCTTTAAAAAAAAGCTGATTGTCATGTGATTAAATACCTGATCAACAGGTATAAATATAACTTACACCAGCATATTTTTTCATGGTAGTGAATTATCCTATAAACTATTTATGCAGTCTTATTCTTCATAATTATTAGTCCATAAGCATCATTTGTTCATTTTTCAAAGAGTATTTAAATGAGCATTTTCTAGTTCATATGAAAATAACCACAGTACAAGATGATTTCTGTCCATTCGAACATAAGTTAGATTGTACAGTTAATTTTCACTTATATTTATGGTACTATTAAGTGGGTAATACCTTTTCCTTTTAAGCCCAATATATATATTATGCCTTCCTAAGTTCTGAACTGGGGCTATATTTCAGTAGTTGTAGAATTATTGATATTAGTTAGTTTTGATAGTTAATGTTTTATTGTTTTGATCTGCACAATTTGGCTTTTGCACAATTCATTTTTTTATCTGAATAATTGCCAAATATTAGAAGAAAGGTGTTCTTCAGGTAAAGAATACAGATTTTAGTCTAAGTGGCCATCACATCCTCTTTTTTTAAAAAAAAAAACATAATATAGATACTTGAGAAAGTTATTGTGGTGTCATATGTTAAGAAAATTGTTTTAATTGGTGCCTATGCTGTAAAAATTACTTTTAATGTATTGTATTTTGAAGTAATGGTTCAGTTAAATTTTTCACCTGCTATGTAACTGCAACTCAATTACAGTTTATAAACTGTAGAGTTCTGGAAATTAATTTTGCAACGCATATCATGGATTTAAATGAATATTTTTATAAAAGTAAAAGCAACAAATTTATAAATTGCTTATTTGAAATTTCACAACACAATTGTATCCCAAATACAAATTTTATTGTTTATTCATTATAGTTATTAGTCCTGTAAACTGTTTCTAGGTGAAGCATACGTATTCCAGTGTTTTGGGGTTTTTAAAAATAAGTATTTAAATTTCATGGTCAAAAAAAAAATTTAAGGTAGTGGATACTTCATACAAAACTCTCAAAGGTTTAATATCTGTGCTAACTTTGGAAAGAGTAATACAGCAAATTGCCACTGACTCAGAATGACACAATATTGGAAATCCTTTAAGGTGTTAGGAATGTGGAAATGAAACAGAATACAGATCACAGGAATAAAACATTGTTACAAAATAACAACAACAAACTAAAAGTGGGCTCCAAAAGACATGATGTTAATAGACTTACACGTGGATATTTCATTTAAATGTCACATTTCTCACCAGGTTTGCCATGTGCTGCTCCCTGACATCAAGATTGCAGCAGACAGATTTGGTTTGCAGGGACCCAAAAACTAAACTCACTTTTATAAATGCCTGGCGGTCTATCATCTGAATGTGTATTTGCGTTTATACCCTGCTTTTCTATTTATCTACTCTATTTCCAAAATGAATTTGAGGAATATCATTTCAGTAAATAATAAAACTTGAACCCAGTGGTTATCGACATAATGCCCAACTGAATGTTTCTTTCTGCATTTGCATAAATATTACAGAACGTTGCTTTCTTATATTTTCTGTATTAGTATATGATCTTCTCACTTTCAGATGCTTATGTAATACATGTATCAAATGACTCATGCAACTTGTGAATTAAGAAAATGTATCTCCAGGATTCTTGGCTTCCCTTGTATGCATTCTTTTTTTACTGTTTGGAATTTCTGGAATTTTCAACGGCTTTTATCTATCATTTAAACATATAATATCATTCTATACTAAAAAAAAATTTATTCTTTGTCAATTCAGATTATTAGCCACTTATATCTTAGCATAAATTTCACACTTTGTGTCTCCTCTCCCAAAAGCATTTGCCTATGAACTTTCTAGTGGAATAAAATAATGTTTTGTTTATGAAAATGACTATGTGATCTCTTTTTGATTTTTCTTAGAGATGATATAACCCTTTTCTCTGACGCTAGCTCCCTTGACTCACACTGATGAGGTCAAATAGAGTTAAGGCTAACCTTACAGGTGTGTCTTGTCTGCAAAGCCAGAAGAGCATGAGGGTAGAAATACCGTGTTGCCCCGAAAATAAAACCTACCCATGAAATAAGCCCTAGCAGGATTTCTAAGCATTTGAGCAATATAAGCCCTACCAGGAAAATAAGACCTAGTGATGCCGTGGCTACGCAGCATATCTGCACAACCCATGCATTTCATCGCCCCATCGTGACAGCTACTGTCCCAGAGGTGACTGGAAAGGTGCAGGCAGCCCCACCAACAAGATCAGCTCCCCCTATCAGGTCCTGGCCATCCTGTGCATGCTGCAAGCTGACGCTTTGAGGGGAAAATAACACAGCCCCTGAAAATAAGCCCTAGGGTGTCTTCTTGAGGAAAAATAAATATAAGACCCTGTCTTATTTTCAAGGAAACATGGTAGAGCTCATTACCTCACAGTTCAAAACAATTAGGGAGACAGTGGAAGGGGGGAGAACGAGTTATACATATGCCTTTATGCACAGCATACCACTGGCAAGAAAAGTGGTCTCTGGGAGCCAAAAAGTAAGTAACTGAAGCTCCCCACGTAACAAATGTTGATACAACAGGCTGCAGTGAAGTCGAAACCTGTACTGTAGGATACACAACACCTCCTCCGCCAATATGGTGATTTCATCTAAATGTATGACGCTCCATTATATCAATAGTCAAGGAGAGAGAAACTGCAGGTCAAACAAGTAAGAAGCCATAATTTTGCTTTATATATTTTTACCTTTGAAATATCTTTTTAGGAAATACATTCTATTTATCATCTATGTAAAGATATATATTCTATAGAACTACACAGAAAATTACTATAAAGACATTCCTCAATTCCCACCATCCAGGTTTAAAGAAAATGTTAACATTTTAGAAGTCTAATTTCAGATATCTCACTCTACATATATGAATAGATAAGTTGATGTCAAGTGGCATTTTGTACATAAATACATATATGTACATGTATGATGTAAAGTGATGTAAAGTGGCATTTTGTACATGTTGTATAAAACATAAAAAATTGCTTTACTAGAATTAAATGGGGACAAAAACTATTGTTTCTTGATAAGAGGCATTAATTCCTAGAAAAGAAAACAAAGACAAAATAAATTTGCATCTAAAGCTTCAATATCTAGTGGCCTCCTGCTCTGAAAGGTAAGAACGAAAAAAATATAATTCCCAAAATTTGATATTTTTTACATTGTTGCACCTGTAGCATTTATATTTTGTCCTGCAACTACAGCTCTTAAATGGTTTAGTCATGGTGTTAGAGTGAAAAGGGTTCTTACTGAACACTGCTCATTTAACTATGGTTTCTTCATAGTTTAGTTTCAATGATCTAATTGCTGGCTACATTGTGTCATTTGTATTCCTAAAGTGCTGTACACTTGACATAACCTGGTTTGCCCAAATTCACTAGGCAAGTCATACTCCTGTTATATTTTCTCTCAAAACTTTCTAAAGTAACATTTCCTGCACCCTCTTCTACTTCTTACAGTTGCTGTAGATCTCTCAGTATCATGGCACTTCTTTTAGGGAATGTTACATCTTCTTGGCATCTAGGAGTATGTGGTATCTCTTTTCTCTTTTATAGTTTGTTCCAGATCTCCTGGTACTGGACAGGTCTGTATCATAATTATTATTTGGGTATGGCCAGTTCTTTGTTTTCTGTTTATCTCTCTGTATTCATTTTGTTGTTGTTTCCAGTGACTTTTATGGAAGAGGAATGAATTAAAAATTCCATTACTTTAACATCTTTAAGTAGAATTTTTGATAATTATAGTAACGCACCCAACTCTCTCATGCCCATAGCCCAATGAATATCAGGTTATAAAGAGATGAGCTAATTAATACTACATTAAATCAAACTATATTTTGTTAGTTATGCCCTTTGCCTGTGTCTCTCTCTCTTCCATTAGGTATTTTTACTGATTGAGACCTCTTTACACTTCTGTGAGTTTGTTGTATTACTCTGTATACGTTATTCCAGCTTTTTCTTATCTATTTTCTTCTCTATTTTAGTCTTTCTAAATCTGACACCTCCTTTCTTTTATGATGTAATATTTTTTTTTCCTCCTCATTTATGTTTTTCTTCCTCTTTCAGATTTCCTCTTTTCACCTCTGATCTATCTTTTCACCTTTGTTTGTTTTTGGTCCTTTCTTCTTCCTTTCTCCCTTCCTCCTGTCATTCCCTTTTATTTGTCATTTCTTGAATTGGCTGTTGTTTGAGATTAGTTTAAGGTTTCGTATTTCCTATTTTTCCCCAGCTTTACTAAGGTATAACTGACAAGCAAAAATTTTATACATTTACAGTGCACAACATGATGTTTTGGTGTATGTATACAGTGTGAAATAATTAATTCTAGATAATTAACATATCCATCACCTATATAGCTATTATTTTGTGGTGAGAATATTTGAGATCTGCTCTTTTAGCAATTTTCAGGTATACAGTACATTATTATTAACTATAGTGACCATGCTGTACCATAAATCTCCAGAACTTATTTGTCCTAATGGAAACTGTGTAACTTTTGACCAACATCTCCCCATTTCTCCTCCCTCACCCACCCCAGTCCCTGGCAACCATCATATCTGCTTTTACTGGATAAAAATCATGGGACCCTGTTGGTTGATTCATACTTATCTAAGAAAATATTGTTTTTCCCCTTTTAGGTTGCCATTCATTAATATTTATATCACTGTTCCTTTGAAGAAAAATAGTTTTATGTTTCTGTCCCTAATTATGTTCTTTTACTCTCAATGAATTGCTGTCAACTTTGAAATTACCATTTACTGATGGATACAATGACTTCAAAATTTCAAACTCAGGTTGTAAGCTGCACATGTCTAATATTTGTACAGTTTTTATAATAAAGCTAAATTCTAAGCACTGGAGGAAAAATTGCAAAGGGTCATATATTTTCATTCTGCATTTTCAATAGGAACTAAGCTCATAAATTAGTAAAAAGAAAAAATGCAGTAAATACAAAATGCTCTTCCTCATACACTGTATATATATTGAGTCAACATATATATATATTTTTTACTTCTAAATGATTTTCTAAATAACTAGAGTTCTCTTAACTCAGAATGTTTGTGCCTTCTTAAATTTATTACCACAGGCAACTTCAAATTTCTTCTACTTTGACTTACCATCTCTCACTTCCAGCCTAAATTTTCCTGTATTATTCTCCAAGAGAAACTACACAAGAGTTTTATAGTATTCTAGGGATCTTTTCATAGAAGTGGCAAGAATAATTTTGGGTGCCTGCTAACATCTGTTGTGTGATAATATGTGCTTTTAAAATGTAGTCATAAATATAATACATTCTTATCTAACACATGCATTGACAAAGCAATCACAATTTTCTTTACCTCCCCGCTTGTTGATCTTGGCGTAGCCAGGAGAATAGCTGCCCGACATGGAGGAAGAGCTGCTGAAAGCTACATGGGACAGTCCAGAGACCAGTGGTTCATCACATTTTTCTGAAAAGAAAAGAGAGATTCGATAAAGATCTTTAAATAATGATTGGTATATGGTGCATAAAATAATTATTGAACATAGTACAAACTTTAAAACTCTTAAAACATTTAACAAATGATCTGAATTTAGGCAACTCTATTGTGCTAATTGTAGTAAATCATAGGAGCAATATAAACAAGCTTTTGATTTTCTTGAGTCTAACTATAGCTAAGTGCATGATGCTGAAGGACCTAAACTCAGACCTGTTATCTAAGAATCTTTCATAGCAAGCTTCGGTATCTAGCATCTCCTGGAAATGTTTCGTACTTATACATTATAGGAATAGAGGATTAGAAACATTAGGATTTGAGGAGGCAAGACAAGAAGGAAACTTAGCAAAGTTTAAACACTAAAAACTGGGGAGCTGGTAACTAACATGCAAAACCAACAGTTATGGAAGATGAATACATTCTAGATATCTGATGTCCAATATTGTACCTGTTATACACCTAATGTGTACAACATATTTTAATGTGTATGCTTTTAATGTATTGTGCACTTAAAAATCTGTTAAGAGGGTAAATCTCATACTAAGAGTCCTTACTACAATTGAAATAAAAAGAAATAGGCGTCAGTAAGGGAGAACATAAAATAACCACGAGCTTGAGAAGTATTTAATATTACCATCTGAAAAACTAATCAGTTCCCATCATACTCAACCAATCAACTGCACTGGAATCAGGCAATACCTCAATTCTATTTGTAACACCTTCTGCACTTGGCTTTTATACTGTCATTAACATTTCTTCTCTCTTTTCTCACTAGCCTCTTGTTCTCTGATTCCTTTGATGGATCATTCTCATTTTCCTAATGTCCAGATGTCCCTAATGTTAAAGTGACCAGGACCCAACTCTTGGATCTCTTCTCAGCCTCCCCATCCTCTCTGGGAGATGGCATTGAAGGATGTGTCTTCTCAAACTGGAATTTTTCCAAATCCTACCACGCTCCTCATCTCGACAGCTACAGACTTGGCCCAAGCAGCTTCCAATGATGACTACTGTAAAAGACTGAGTATCCATGCTGGGTCTTCCCTGGTTCCTCTGTGGTCCTTCTACACATAGTAGCCAAAGGGATACTTTTCTAAAAAATGAGAACAGAAATGTAGCTGCTGTACGTAAAACATCTCCTGATTTCTGATCTCAACTTGGAATACTGTTCAAAGCCTACACTGGCTACCACGCTGTTCCCATCTCTTTCCCATGCCCTGTCCATCTCTGTCCATCCACCATGGCCTCCTCCTCCTCCTCCCTTCAGGGCAAGCCTGCTCCTAACTGCTGCCTTTGCAATTTCTTTCCCATGTACTACACAAGGCTCATTCCTGTCTACTCCCAGGTGTCTGCTCAACATTATCTTCACCACTGCAGACAAGCTCTGCTAGTCCACCCAGCTGATAGAGCAATCTGCTGCCATGAGTCTCTGTACTTACAGCTGCTTTATTCTCCTTCATAGCACTTAGCACCCCCTGACATGCTATGTTTTGACTCATTTAATTGTTTGGCTGCCTCTCTCTCCCACTAGACTGTAAGCTTCATGGGAATAAAGCTTATTGACAGTTTGCTTAATGCTTACTCTGCAGTGATCTGAACAATGCCTGGCACTTGGCACAAGCTCTAAAAACATTTGTAGAATGAATGAATGAAAAAAAAACTTAACCAAGTAAACTCAACAAATCTCAAAGAGTACAGAAGCACAGTACCAAAGTCCAACATGGTACAACCTTAATTTTTAGAGAGGTGGTCTTAAATTCTCCCAAAATGTTTACAAGTTCTCAGAACTTTGTTTAATAAAACAAACAAAAAAGGTTGCTGTACATATTCTAGAATACTTCTCTCTCAGAAAAATTTATAAACAGAAAAAAAACTTTAACAATAGAAGCAATAAACTCATTTTCTTGAAAATTCCCTTAAGTGGAGCTTAGTCCCTGATGACTTTGGAGCAACGAATTATTATTTATTATCTTACTACGCAAGTAAGTACAAATTGGAAGTTATATGAACAAATCCATCTTCATATAATATTGCTAGATTTCTTATTTTTCTTAGTTATATTGCAAGTACCTTTGGGAAATATGGCATGCGTGTATGAATGAATATATCCCCCAGAAAGTTAAATGTAAAAGAACAAAAAGATAAACACAAAATTTGTTTTAAAAGTATCAGTTCACAACACTATAAAGAATTCCACACTAATTGATAAAATGTGCTTTTCTATTTAGCTGCAAATAAGCACAAATATACATCCTTGATTTTTCTACTTTCTGATTCTTTTGAGTATAAATTTTGACATAAATTCTGCATTTAACTGGAGTAAGCCTTATTTCTAATGCTCCCATTCTATTAAGAATGTGCTAAGATCCATTCATTTTCCTTCCATCCTTTCAAATATGCATCGAATGCCTTGCTGTGCCCAGCACTGAAGTGCAGCAGCAGATGAAATGGATAAGGGCCTTTCTTTATGGAGTTCATGTTTGAGTGAGGAGAAACATACTAAGAATAACCGTGTAAATTTACAGTATGGTGTGGTTGTGATGAATACTATGGAGGAACCTTAACTATGAGACAAGGGGCAGGGAGTTTGGGAGTGGGTGGGGGTGGAGAGAGTTGTGGTTTGGTTCTGCCTTGTCAAGGAAAGCCTCCTGGACCAGGTACCACCTGAGTAGTGAGAAAATGAGGAAGGGAGCTGTATTAGAAATCAGGAGGCTCACGCTGGGAGAAACTTTCTAGTCTAAACCTACTCAACCGGGATAGCTTGAAATAATGAAAGTCACATTTCCTAAAAGTACATATTCAATGCACATATGTCATTGCAGTGAAAGTTATTAAAATAAAATTGGAAATGATTAATCAAATGATCCTTTAGCTAATTTAAATTTAGAATTGAAATATAGTGTTTATAAAACCCTAAGATAGTCTACCCTATTACATTTAAAAACAATCGACTTCCGTAACCAATTGATCATCTTAATATCAGATTTTAAATTATTTTTGCTAATTTTAAAAATCAGTTGAAAATAAATTTTAAAATCTGAGAAATTAAAATAAATTTTGAAAATTGTATAATTACTCAGAATAATTAGAATAAAATTGGGATCAGCAGAGATAAGAGCGAATGAGATATTTATGTTTTTTAAAAGCGACTATAAATTATTAGAATTTAAGTTTTGGCAACCTCATAGTCTTCTAAGTTGAAACAATCTATAATCATAAGATTAAATATGAAAAAGGCTAAAATACTACATTTTATCTTGGAGGATGTTAATCACAAATAGTTATTGATATCTTACTCTATGCATTTCATTGCTATACCTCTTTAGGCAATGCAAACAAAATATATGTGACCCACTCCTCCATGAAGGGCAATAATAAATGAATTTACAAAAAGTAATTAAACATGAAACAAGAAAATAGTAAAAAAAAAATTGTAATTCAATGCCAAATAGAATATAATCAAATACTTAAAGTAACAAATAAATCTAAAATACAGGGCTGTTGTTCAAGTGAGTTTCCTGTTAGGCCTGGCTCTATTATAAACGTGTGACCTTGAATATGTCTATTAACCCCTTTCCTAAGGATGACACACATAATATGAAGAACTTTAGCTAAGTTTCTCTCAAGCTCTCAAAACTTTAAGAAATGGCAAGCACAGAAGTCAGCAAACTATGGTCTGCAGGCCAAACCCAGCTCGCAGCTTGCTTTTGGCTAAGTACAGTTTTATAGGAGCTCAGTTACACTCATACTCATTCATTAGCATATTACCCATGACTGCTTTCCCACAACAGCATAATGTTGCAATAGACGCCATATGGACTGCAAAACTAAAATATTTACTATCTGACCTCTTTCACAAAAAGTTTTCCAACCACAGGTTTGATATAACAAATATTTCCAAGTATTGAGGAATAAGAATGATTAATGATCACTTATGGTGCCGGGTAACATACAAACAATGAATGGAACCTGAAGAATTGAGAGGCTCCAGATAGATAGAGAAAGAGTTTAAAACATTCTAGAAAGAGGACACAGCCTCAGCATCATCACAGAGGCCACGATGGGTATCAAATTTCCCAGCGATGTCTGTAGCAGCACTCCATGCGTGCACACATTGCCACACTGACGATAATGATGAACTGCCCATTTTTATTTCCAACTGTAATAATGGTTGTTACACATTACGCATCCTAAGGAGCCAGCTTGCTGCTTGCGCTTGAACACGTATCTCAATATTCTGCGGACATTAAATAGTAGGGCATTGGGAAAATCCCTGGAGAAAGTTAGAATTTTTATAGAGTGGTAAAGGAGGGAGGGATGGGGAAAAAGAGAAAGAGGGACAGAGGGGAAGAGAGAGAGAGAAATAAAAAGTAGAGGAAGAGGGGGAGAGAGAGAGAGAGATGAGCACTGAAAAGATTTAGTATTATTTAGTATAGTATTTTTCCATACTGGGATAACTTCCAAAACTACAGCCACACACAGCTATGGCAAATATTTGGTCTCCAATGTACTTCCCTTCCAGGGAATCTTGGATGAAAACTAGAGGAGCAGATGGGCCTTGAGTTTTATTTTCACACAATTTCAGTCAATCAGGAAGGCAGACTAGCTGTAAGAAGTCTGCACTAACTCAAGCTGCAACAGAGGAAATTACTGGCAAATAGAGGTGAAATGGCTACTGCCCTTTACCTAAAAGAGCATGGTTGAGAGGCTTGGTTATTAGCAATGGTTATCAGCAGGAATTTGCAAGGTCAAAGGACTTCAGAACACATGAAACTGACATCAGAGTACGGCATTCGAATGTGTCTCTGATTAAAAATAATGTTGGAAATTCTTCATGAAATGGTATTTTTTTTTAAAACCACAGCACTTAAAATATATGTTTTCTAATCCCTACTTGGTAATATAAGCCTAATACAAAAAACAGTTAGAAACCACAAAGGATTCCAGAATCAAACAGTGCTATCGGGACAGAAATT